CCTGCCCCCATCCCTTTTACTCCCCCCGCGGCGGCGAGTGTCCCCAAGAATGTTGGGCACACATCATCAGATACCCTTGTTTGCTCATGCAAAATGCATGCACGCAGGAAATGAGGCAGTAACGTGCAATCGCCGCGGCACGACGCGCTGAAAATCGGCGGGAAAAAAAGAGGGAAAAGAAATTGCCAGTGAAAAGGGGAGAGGGAATCGGGAGGGGGTTAGGGGAGGGGGAGGTTGGCTTTACGCCCGTTTTGAGGCCACTTCCGTCGCAGGTGAGGGGGAGAGGGGTTAAACGCGCGCCTTTTGAGACGCTAAGTGGTCTCGGCCAAGGTCGTTGTGGAAGGGAAGGGGACTATCGACGGTATGTTGGTCCAGGCGTACTTCAAGGTGGGTCGAGGACTCTGCGCCTCGCGCCGCGCGAGGTCGGAGGGGTGAGGGGAGAGGGGGGGGGGGGGCTCGCGCACTCGAGCAGACATCGGATCTGCTGGGGGAAGGCAAATGGACAGAGTGGAAAGAGGGGGGCGAGGGGTGGGTTGGGACGGCGCGAGGACCGCTGCTGTGAGTGTGGCGCGGCGCACGGCGCGCTCGGTATAGTCAGAGCCAGCTTCAGGTTGCCTAAAGCGGCCTAGGGGGGGCTTTAAGCGCCGCCCCCCCCCCCCCCACCCACGAGAGGCTGCTAGCTGGGGGGCGAGAGAGGGAGGGGCAGACAGACAGACAGAGGGGAGGAGAGAGAAAGAGAGGTATGTCCTTGGTACAAGAGGGAGCTTTAGTTGGTGGTCCACGAGGGTTTTGCGCCGACTCGTTTCGGTGTGCGACACAGACAGGATACGCTCTCGCAGGAGGACTCTTTGGCGAGGCGTTTTGTTTGGCGCGTGCCTGTGCCGGCGTGTGTATGGACGAGTGGCAACACGAGAGTGGCGCTCGACGTGGCATAGAGGTCGTCTCGGTCGAGGTGGGGAAGGATTTGGACTCGTTCTCTGTACTTTGTGGGGGCACGGGGTGTGCGGATGATGATGCTGGGGCGCGTCCCGCCCAGCCGTCCGAGGCGGGGCGGG